ACCCATGACGCCACATTATGACCAACTCATGGAAATGCGACCATCTCTGATTGTAACACCATACACCCTATATTTCTATATTGCAATACCTAACATAATCATATAGTAATCATTATTAATGGTGGCAGCCAGAATGCTACCCAATAACTTGTAACCAAGATTCACCAATATTCTTTTCTTTTCTTTCTCAATCTAATTAAGAATTTTCATCTATCCAGCAATTTACTTTCTAAATCCAACACATTGAAAATTCAACTATAGTCAACTACTTGATGAATTGGAGAAAACAAAAATATCACCTGAAGTCGCGCCCTCCAAATTTTATTTACGATCGTGTGCATGCCTCTATTCTATCTTTTTTCTTCCACATATTATTTATTACCCTAATTATTTTATATATTACTAATTATAAGAAAGTGGTAAAAGTGAGCCCCTACTAATTTTAATGTTACCTTCTTTACCCACCAATTAAATTAATTATTAAAACTACCCCACTAAATTCATAAATGTAGTTACTTATAGTCCAAAATACCCATTTAGAATCTATCATAAAGTATTTTATGAAATAAAAAGCTCTAGTACTCAAAACAACGAAATGGGTCGTTATAGTCACCCGCAAGTCCCAGAACTACGTGCCCCATAGGTTGTAATTCCCATCTGTGGGCATCAGTTTAGTGATCACGCCAGTCGTTCCTCTATACCTCAGGCAGGGTATATTGGGTCCTCTCGATGGGACGTATACATCAGACTCCACATTTAGTTCATGTGGTTTTATGTTGGTTATTAGTAGCTCCCTTACAGTCAGATTCTATTGCATTGACCATGTTATCAGTCACAGTTCAGTATTCAATTTCAGCATGTTATAACTTGGTCATTGCATTCAGTCATTTAATGCTCAGTATTCTCAGTTAGTATCATGCTTATATCATATCATTGCTTAGTTATGTGCTTTGTTCAGTTATGATTATTGTTCAGCTTTATTTTATTTTGCATGCTCAGTACCTTTCAAGTACTGACGCATACTCTGCGCTACATCTTCTCGTGATGTAGGATCAGGTTCTCAACTTCCAGATCACGCATTGATCGGTTCCCGATCTTCCGTTCTACAGCATCAGTGGTGAGTCCTCATTCTTCGAGGACGATTGGCATGATTATCTTTCCTTGCTTTTTAGTCTTTAGTTTTCAGTATTTGCTAGATTTAGTTGAGGCATGTCCCAGCACGTCTAGTCAGTTAGAGGCTATTTTCAGACAGCTAGTTTTAACTTTAGTGTTTGAGTTTGACTTTTCAATTGTTGTTGAACTCTCATATATTCAGATTTAGTATATGGGTATTCTCCATCATTTCAGATTATCTCATGATTTAGCTTCCGCACAGTATTTCTTTACTTCAGTTTATTTAAGAATGCTTATGATATGCCAAAAGGGTTAGTTTGGAGTCACTTGTGATCCTAAGTCCCGTGTCCGCGTCCGGGGGGTAGCTTCGGGGAATGACAGATATGTTCACACAAATAATGAGGACATGAACATTTACGTAACAATGTACAATTCACAACAACATATTCATGATACAACATCAAACAAATGAACCAATACGCCTTTCAAAACCATTCTTAACACATCACACACCAATAATTAATCACATTTCTTTTTATTACCCTTTTTTCCATACATTAGATTTATTCAATATGGAAAGTCAACCCATCACCTAGTTCCATTACTCCCCAACACATACCATAAGGAAATAGACGATTCTACACATTTAACAAGGGTTAACGAATCCACTAGCCTCAAGCAATCAAATAATTACTCTGGGAGTCGAGTCTTCCCCTTTAGTTGGGCTTCCAAGTCAACACACTCCAAATCTATAATCAAGGTCCTAAATCTTAATGCCAATCAATAGGTCAAATCTCATATTTTTTAAGTTTCAAGACAAGGGTTAGGTCTTAATTTCTCCAAAAACTACAACCCTAATAGTTTTATTGTAATATAGTACACCTAATATTTAATTACATATGTCCATATATCAACCCTAATAGTTTTCGAGTTTTGATATATGGAGATAGGTAATTAAATATTGGGTGTATATTATTATACGAAAACTATTAGGGTTGTAGTGTTTGGAGAAATTAAGACTTAACCCCAGGCTTAAAACTTAGGAAATATAACATTTGACCTATTGATTGGCATCAAGATTTAGGGACTTGATTATAGCTTTGGATTGCATTGATTTGGAAGCCGAACTAAAGTGGAAGGCTCAAGTCCCAGAGTAATTGTTTGATTGTTTGAGGCAAGTGGAATTTTTAACCATTGTTAAGTGTATAGAATCGTGTATTTCCTTGTGGTATGTGTTGGGGAGTAATGGAACTTGGTGATGGGTTGACTTGTCCATATTGTATAATTCTAATGTATGAAAAAGGGGTAATAAAAGGTAATGTGAATAATTATTGGTGTGTGATGTGTTGAGAATGGTTTTGAAAAGCCTACTGATTCATTTTTTATGTTGTATGACGATTTTGTTGTTATGAATTGTGAATTGTTATGAAAATGGACATCTCCTCATTATTAGTATGAACATGTCATTTGCATTGGTTCAGACACATGGCTAAGACAAGTCTTATGTATTGAAGAATAATAAGAAATTGAAAATGATGTTCCATTTTGAGGGACGTGTCATATGCCATGATGGATACTATATTTTGGGGCCGTATCGCACACTGTGATGGATTCTATTATCGAGGGATATGTCACACGTTGCGGTGGATTTTATTAATGAGGGTCGTGTCATATGCCGCGACAGATGCATGGACATATATGTCCTCCATGAGTCCCGAACTGAGAGACAGCTGGTGTGTATCGCTAGATCAAACATGCATCACTATACTTGGCATTGCATTGTATAATACCTCGGATTTCATAATAAAGAAAAATCCAAGTTTTATGAAAACTTGTGACAGTACCGACGGAACCCCCCCGACCGTAAGTGGGACCATTTACCCTAGGTTGGGTTCTGTCGTTAAGGCCCAAATCTTTATAGTCTCTGATCCCACCCACGGTCGATCAGTACGGTTTGTGGTTGGACCTACAGACCGTAGGTCTTACGATAGGTGAGGGTCAGTAGCCAGTTAGAGGGAAATTGTTGTTGGGTCAACTTCAAACGGTCAAAACTTTTAGCACAAAAAGAATTAGGTGACCCACGACCTATCAAATGAAAGATAATTGAAACCTCTTTCCAACGCCACCTAGTTTGCTAAAATCCCATCTCCGAGTAAAAAGTTATGCTCGTTTTAGTGAAGCCCTGTCGGGTAGATCATAAACAACGAACCCAAACGATGGCCCATAGTCCAAATGATGGACCATCGTTCCCTCCGTGGATGGGCTACATCAAAATTAAGTGAGGGTCATTTTGGTCCTTTCCCCTATGCGTTGGGCACTTAAACTACGTCGTTTGATGCCTAAACCACGTCGTTTTACTCAATTTAAGCCTAGTAACCTAGTCAGAACATAACAAAAACCTTTATTCACAAAAATTCACAAGTACTTAGAGTGAAAAAGAGGAGAGAGAGTCGACCAACCCCTTAAGAAAACGTAGCAGGTTTTCTTCACTTCCAGCCCCGAAATGAAAGGATTTCATTGTAGATTTCATAACCAGGTATGTGGGATTTCACTAGTGGGTTCCTTTCATCCACTAGGTCCCTAGAATTGTGTTAGATTCTTGATTCATTGTATCTTACTCAAACCTAGGGTTTCTAAAACCTTAGATATTGGTTGAGATTTAGCTGTTATAGTATTCTTAATTAGATTATCATGTTTTCGTGAAATCGTTTCTTAGTTCCTTGCATGAAACTCAGAACCCTAGTTTTGTAGATTCTCTTAGTTTATGAATTACACTTGCTAAGTCAGTTTAACATATATACATGTTCCAATTTTGAATGTTTCATTATCAGTAACTAAATGTTGCATTCTCAGATTTACATGTCAGAATATTGAGCTATCCAGTATTTCAGTTATGTTGTGTCATACACATTTCAAGTTTGGAGTAGGCTTACTACCGAGTTGGACTAGGGTTCAGCGTACCCTCATAGTCCCAGAACTACGTGCCCCCATAGGTTAATATGTCCCCTCGGTTGGGCATCAGATTTAGTGATCACGCCAATCATGTCTTTATACCCCTTGCAAGGTATATTGGGTCCTCTCGATGGAGTGTATACAACGGACTCCGCATTTAGTTCACGTGATTTTATGTCGGTTAATAGTAGCTCCCACAGTCAGACTCTAGTGCATTTGACCAAGTTTTCAGTTATACTTCAGTATTCCGTCTCAGCATGTTAAATTCATGATTAGTAATTGGTCATTGCATTTAGCTCAATTTTCAGTTATATTTCAGTATCTAATTTTCTATTCAGATTATGTCATTGATCAATTATGTTTGTTCAGTTTTTATACTTGTTCAACTATTATCTATATCTTGCACTCTACAGGAAAAATGACCTTTTGCAAGGGGATATTTGGTTGTTCAAAGTCCAAATACGGTCGTTAAAGGTCATTAACGATGGGGACAAATCCGATCATCGTCTGTCGTTAAAAGCTCTGATGTTAAAAGTTTAACGACAGATTTCTATCTAGTCATTAAAAAACTTTTAACTACAACATAAAATCCAGTCACTATATGTCCTTTTATAGCAACCAAATTGTCCCTATGCTAATTAATCAATCCGGTCGTTCAAAATCATTTGCAGCAACTAACTTTTTAACCACTACAAATATTTTTTAAGACCGAAATTCCCTTTGTTAATAACCTAATTTGTATATTAGTTTCGACTTCAATACTTTTAACGACCAAAATTTTCGTCAATAATGGTCATTTCAATATTAGATCATGCTATTCATAAAAGAGTTTCAAGGACTACATTCCTGTTTGCTATTACATAAATATTGTACTACTTTACTAATAATAATAATAATAATCTCACACACATTCAATCATATATTAAATAATTGAATTGATATAAGAATTTATCATTAATAAAAAGAACTAAACAAAGATATATATCCAAGTTGTATGTCATCAACTTTAATCTTCTAATTCAAAAAAGAAAACTTGCAACATATATACATAAGATAGTCTTTAAACTACCCCTAATAAAATCCTCACAAACTTCAACTTGCTCCTTACTTTCTTGAATGATAAAAATTTCATATTCAAATTCTTGAGCTGCAAACGAAGAAGTGTGTATCAGTTTGATAACAAAAAATAAAGAATTTAAGTAGAAACACATATAGGATCTCAAAATATTTAGCAGAAAGGATGCAACAAAAAATTAAAACTTCCAAAAAAGCAGGATAACAATAACTAATGTATGTTTTAGGGAGAAATCAGCCACTACGGACTATAGCTATAATTTTTAACACTAATACGGCAATCGACCTTCTTCAATACAAATGTCTGCTAAAATTATTAGTTTTTCACCCAAAAAAATAATAATATGCTGCACATAATTACTAATAGCAAGGAAATAGTTTCATAGTATAAAACATGTGTACCAAATTACGGATGGGCATCACAAAGAGATTAATATAAATGCAAAACTTCATTACTTGTCAAAGAAAGATTGATATAAATGCACATTTTCTTCCATGTATATCTCTAATTTAAATTGGATGATTTTAATGAACTATAACATAATGTCAATTTCATTGAACAACAAAATGGAATGAACTAAGCTTTCAAGATAGAACAAACAACATTTTAACACAAATATGGCCAAAAAAGATTTGGCAGATAAACAATGAAGAGAAGATGGAAAATATTTTGTCTCATCACACAAGGACTACTAAAACATCTCTCAAAACACATCAAAATTTAAGAGTTCTTTCTCTGTTTTGAATTTAGTAGGTGATTACTTTATTCAATGCTTCTTCCTCACGAAACTTAGTGAATGAAAAAAAATGAAAACTATTGCCAAGTTTACTATTAAATAAATGAGGAACACATAAGTGTCTACCATTCTACTCTAATATGTTTTACGTATACAATCAGTATTAGTTGCTTTTCCTCAAAAAGAAATGATTGATGCTCCAAAATTTAGGAAATATATATCCTCTTCATGCCATCAAAGTTTATTGGTTCCCTTGTTCTATCTTTAAATCAATTTTCCAGAACATGATGCCTATTCTTACTTCTTTATTTCTTTAAATTGGCTAATGTATCTAGGAACTGAATAATTTGTGGATTTTTATTGGTTACTGAGAATTTTTCTGCCACTAGGAGTAGTTTTGATCATGAATCTAGTGCTACAGATAAGTGTTCTCTTGCACCGTATATTTATATTTGTACGAAGAGACAGATGAGTGTGGAAGGTTTTGCACATCACTACAACTTTTATGCTATACTTCCTGCATTAAATTATCTTTAAGCTCATTTCAGTTCACTTTCCTCTTGTTTTCTTTCATGTTTATAATTGGAAAAACTAAGTCTTACTAGAGTCAATATATTCCCTATTGTTTCCATTAAATAAACCTAACAAAATTAGGTAATGTTGAGGTTGGTATCAGATACAAAGTAGTTCTTGACTTCTTGTTTCCTGTTATGTACTTGTGTGAAATCATAAGACAGTTAGCAGACAACATGCAAGCAAAATCAAAGTTCAAGATAACATCATGTTGAAAAAGTAAGAAGCAAAACTAAGGTTTAACTTGACAGTATCCCCACATATATTATGTCAATGCTCCCAATACCATCCAAGGTACATAATCAAATTGACAAAATCAGAAGATCTTTTTTGTGGAAGGGGCGCTATGAGGGCCATAAGTTCCATCTTGTGAAGTGGGAAAATGTAATTATGCAAAAGCAGCACAGAGGTCTAGGAATCAGAGATTTAAAGAAGCACAACAAGAGCCTGTTAATGAAATAGTGGTGAAGATATGCTCAAGAACCAACATGTATCTGGAAAGAGGTAGTGAATGCCAAATATGGGAGGCAAGACAAATGGAGTACCAAGCAGAACAATGATCCTTATGGAGTTGGACCTTGGAAGTACATTAACCACCTAAGGGAGGAGTTCTTCCAAGAGGTGTCCTTCGGGATTGGAAATGGGAACTCGGTTAAATTTTGGAAAGACAGGTGGCTTAACAATCAACCTCTCAATGTCTCCCACCCAGCTATTTACAGGATAGCCTCTGACATAGACTCTTCAGTGGCTCAAAACAGAGAAGGTGGAATATGGGCACCACGCTTTAGAAGGAATTTTCAAGACTGGGAGCTTAATGAGCTCTTTGATTCTTTCAAAATTCTAGAAGGAGCCTCAATGACCCCTCACTTGCCTGATAGCTTAAAATGGGGCAACTCTGAATAAAGGAATATACACAGTGAAGGAAGGATACCATAAGTTGTGCTCTTCCAATGCCATGATAGACCAGTGGCCATGGAAACTGATTTGGAAGACTAGACTACCCCCTAAAATCAAGTGTTTCACCTGGACTACCCTCAAGAATGCTATCCTAACCCTGGACAATCTAAATAGGAGGAAACTTCAGCTAGTAGACAGACAAATGTTTCTTGTGCCTCAATATCCTGGAATCAGTGAATCATTTGTTTCTGCACTTTCCAGTGGCAGCAGCTCTTTGGAATTTGTTTATTTCAATTGCTGGTATCAACTGGATTCTCCCGCAAAGTGCCAAAGAAGTAGTTGGAAGTTGAAGTCTTAGAGAAGTTGATAGCCCCATCAAGAAGACCTGGCAGATGATTCCATCATGTATTTTTTGGGGTATTTGGAAGGAAAGGAATCTCAGATGTTTTGATGGTAGCTCAACTCTAATTAGCAGTTTGAAATCCTTTTGCCTTATTAATCTCTTCCATTGGAGCAACTTATCCCCTGTAAATGATATATTACCCCTCTTAGATTTCATTAGCTCCCTCAATATGGCATAGCGACCATATTTTGCTTATGGTTAACTCCCTGATTAAATAGGTGTTTTTTTTCTCAGGAGTTAACCATATTTTTGTGTATGTAATTTGCATCTTCTTGATGCCTTTCTAATACAACATCTTACTTCATAAAAAAAAACTGAGGTTTAACTTGCTAAACAGAACCTTTAGGGTCGAAATAACTCCTTTAGACCTAAGTTCAACTCTAATAGACATCTTTTAACTTCATATGATCCATCTATCTTTCCCTTTACTCGTTAGGAGTTTGAAGGTAGTGGATTTGTTAGGGATTATCAAGGGTTGATGAAGGAAAAAATATTACGTTGTAAGAATTTTATAATCTTTTATTAGTTATTTGTTTCATATCAGGCTCTCCTTTTATGAAGGTTGAAGTAAGCCAGTATTTAGCCACTGGTTTAAAGAATCATGCTACAGTAGTCATTTATTCCTTCATTCAGAAACTAGTGGCCCTTAAGTAAAGAAGTTAAACAATTCAAAGACTCTTGCTGAACTAGGATATGAGCCTAAATATCCAAGCTTCCCTCAGTTCCTGGGTGTTGCAGATTAAATTGTGGCAGAAACTCTATTCTTTAAATGATTGAATGAATGCATGTGAGCTATTTTGGCAGAAGTAGCAATAAAAAATAGCATGGAGGGAAAACACAATACTGAAGAAGAAAGAGAGACACGGAACAATTACTCTCTGCTTAAGAAGAATCAAACACTGTCCTCTGCTTCAGTTGTCTTAGTGGGAGCTAAGGTCTCCCACATTGAAAGTTAGGCTTATGAGTCGGAACAATAAAAAATACTAAACCTTTTCGAACTAATGAAAAGAATTTCATATAGCATTGCACAATAATTTCATCATAGACCAAAGAAAATTCTCTACTAACCTGTTAACTAGTTCAATATATTGATCAGTGAAAGATGGTGTTGATGAAGGCTGAAAAAACACTACACTTGCAAGCTGTTCATATTTGTTCTCGAGCTCATTTACGCGTTGACATTTACTCTCTATTATTCTCTAACTCATCCATGCAATTCACTTACATTCAACTTATCTAGAAATGCAGCCTTTGAAGAGTTACCACCATTTCAATTTTCAACTCCTTCGATGTCATCCCACCACAAATCCAACCACATTATTTTTACGTTGAGGTCCAAAGCACATCTCAACGACCTCAATATTTGTAAGAGATGAATTAAGATTGTATCACTTTTTGGATCTCAACCTATAAAACACAGGACAAATTAAAATAATAAAGCACATAATGTTAAATGGTGTAACATGAAATTTATGAGTAAACATTCATATTTTGCATTTGTTTCAGGTTCGACAAGCTTGTTATCCTTCTTACGTGTCTCAAAGAAGATAGTATCCATGTTTGGTGGCTTACCATCTTTTCCTTCCTTCATATATAAATAAACAAGTAAAAGAAATCAAATTATCAAGGAGGAGGCTTTCTAAAAAGTTTCTAGATTTACTTATTAATTCATAAATAATCTCTCTAATAGGCTTACTACTAGTGCGATGAGGCATACACAACTTAAGACTTATTGACTGAGTTTCTTGTACTTATTTCCTATATTAACAAAACACTACTGAAATTTTAGTCATCCAATTAAGATATCATGCTGATAGATCATAGCTATGAATTAATACCTTAGACTACTCACTTAAGAAATGCTCTCTAACAAGTCATTCCCAATCACCCTTGTCTACCTCTTTTGGCACATCTTTTACAGCATAACAGAATATCTTAGACTTCACATTCTTGTGCAGTGATCCTCTCCCATTATTTAACAACCTTCGCACATGTTGCAAGACATGTTTTTTGTGATCATTCATGTTGTCACTGACAAATTTATCCTACAATATTACACAAGTATCATTTTCATATTGTCAAGAAAGATGCAATACTAGGTTCAAGAGGGTTTTATAAGCATTAACAATGTAAAAGCATGACCCATATTTTAAGGATGAAATAACATATACAAGGAGGAAATAACATAAACATATTTCTTATGAGCATAGAAGGTGGTGTTAAGTCCTAGTACCAGCATCGGTGCACCATAAGGGCCGATACCAGCAAGTATCAGTAAGTTGCCTATTTAAGTTCTATTAGAGCAAATCCAGTAAACAAGGCCCTGCTCCAAAGTTTCATGGGTTTTAGCTACAATGATCCCTAAGTACCTCGTATTCACTTGATCTTAGTTGTTTCTTAGTTTATTCAGTATGTTAGATAACTGTTTGACTTTGTAGTTGGTGCTTGTAAAGATACTAGTTTGGTGATTTGAATATAAAAAATGCTAGTTATCAGAATAAAGTAACATCAATACTAACTAAGAGAGACTGGTATATATACTAATTAGGCCTATTATTTATCTACCAATGGATCATATAATGTGAGTTGCAGCCACAATCAATTGATGCGTAGGCAGCTGCGACTAAATGTAGCAGACTTGGTATGATACTTACTCATGTTACCTAGACACAAATTTATTGTCTGGCTAGCAGCTGGCTAATCAAGAGAAATTTCTAACAAAAGAAAGGAAGATTAGACTACAAATACAATTAGAAGATGACAAGTGTGTCTATATAGAGATAATAAGATGGAAACTCGATTGGATCTACTATCAAAATGTACTCACTACTCAGCTTACTGGAGAGTGTAGGAGTTGTCCAGATCAACGATTGATCTCCTGGCAGACTCATTTGGGGGTACAAAGTAGTTGGTAATATTCTTTGAAGGCAACATACGATTCACTATGTACTGAAAATCAAATGATAGTTATAAAAAAACAACACTGAAGACAGAACTAGCGAATTGGAGTACAAAAGATGAAGGTAACACAAAGGTTAATATGGATAAAGGGAAGGCGCTCGAAAAATATGAAAAGGAATTAGTTACAGCTATATGGGGAGATAGAATCTACCACACTTGGAGAGAAACAAACTGAACAATATACAGAGAGACAACTAAAAATACAGAGATTACATTTGTACAAATAATAAAGAGATAGCTGAAAGAGTGGATTACTTGAAACACAGTAGGAAAGTTAATAGATGTAGATACCTGGTCCAAGAATTTTGTAACTAGGTGATACAATTTTACTCTATGTGCAGAACACAATAGTCCATATCAGCATCTTCCAGCTTAAAAAATTAAAGAAAGTAATGTTGTAAATCCTTGCCGTGACGACATTCCACATGTATTCTAGCTTATTGATTTTTTACTATGTTCCCGCAATGGACACATATGTTTTCCTACTAATGAGAATTGTAGGATTCAGTTAGTTATAGGAAATTTTTGGTCCTTTCTCAGCTAAAATACAGTGGAACTTCAATACAAATAAATCTTTGCTTAGAGACACTCAAATAGCTCGCCCTTGTTCAAGGAAGAATGGCCCTGATCAGTTTCACACTTGGAGAAGAATGCTACCGATCAAGGAAAGTTGTGCTAAGTATATTCTATGGAAAGTTGGGCCTGAGAAGATTTTAACTTTTTTAGATAACTGGACTAGTAAAGTGCAGTTGGCTAGCACCATCAATAGTCTCCCCTAGAGGAAGAACCCAAGAGTGACTAATTTTATTCATAATGGCTACTGGAAAGTGAACGGTTTAAAGTAGTTTTCCCTTATTAAGTAGTTCAGATAATCATGAGCATCAAAATTTATGATGAACAAGAAGATCTATGAATTTGGTCCATCCACTATAGTGGAAAATTCACTTGTCACAATACTTCGGAGTCTATGAGATAGAGAAACAACCAATGCATTACTTCAAAGATGATCTGGCATCGTAAAATGAAAAATAACTTTCAAGATATCATTTTCGATTATGAGACTATTGAGAATTAGATTGCCAGTTGACAGTTCCCTCTAAAAATTCAAAGTTCTTGGCCACTCTAGGTGTTGTTGGTGCAAACAGTATTTTGATAAAAGTATGGAACACAAGTTTTATAACAGTGACTTGGTTAAAGACTTACGAACCTTTTGCAACTATATCAGAAACATAATTAAGGATATCACTAAACTACACTAGTGCACAAAGCAGAATAACATTCAGTTAAAATAAAAGGAAAAACAAACATAAATGGATCATAAAAAATTAGGGAAAACAGTGAATTTGAAAGAAGTAGACATTCCACAAAGCAATTGAGAATGAAAATAACACAAACTTACCTTGAAGAGAAGAAACCACAAGTGTTGAGCAGACCAATAAGCCGATAAGCAGTAACAAGAGAAGATTGGTTCTCTTTTAAGAAAATTAGAATGTTTTCTGCAATTAAAATAGAGACACCTGGTTGCCTCCTTAAATAGAAGGAACTGAGAGACCTTCGACCTAATTTTTCTTAATAAACATGGAAATTGATGTACCTTGTTCATTTTGATCTTATATGTTTGTTGATTGTCCTCTGGCTGATTTCCCTCCAACAAACTGACACTCCTAATTTGAAACTAAGGGCTACAGCTAGATAAATTTAGGGTTAACACAGATTTGGGCAAAACGAAAAAATACCCAAATCTCCAACAGAATTTGAGAGAAGCATGTATTGCAGATTTTTCTCAAATTTCTTGACCTGTACTGGAGAAAAGTTGTGCTTCAGTTATGTTCTTGAGCTGCTCCCTGGATTCTCTAATAGAACGATAGAAGATCAAAAACTTCATTAGTGAAACTATTTTCTTAGGGAGGGGAGGAGTGGGGTATGTGGACTATGTTGTTACGGAGAGGAGGGGTGGTGTATGTCGTGTGCGGTTAAGAAAAAAACTAGGGAAATTATTTTTAATGTATATGCGCCAATATGTTATAATTACCAACCGGATATTGATGTTTTTAACATCCGCATATTTATTTTTTGCTAATGTTAAACTGAAAATTGATCTTTTAATGACGGAAAAAACATTTAGACGCTATAAATACACTTTAATGACTGGATTCATATCCCGTCGTTAGGAATTGGACATTAAAAGTAAAATTTATTGTAGTAAGTACTAACGCACAATCTGCGCTACATCCTTTTATGATCTAGGTTCAGGTATTCAGCATCCAGATCACGTATAGATCGCTTCTCGATTTGTATTCAACAACATCAGTGGAGAGTCCTCATACTTTGAGGACAATGGACATATATTTCATATTCAATCTTTTTTTTAGTTTTTTTCAGTTTTGCTAGAGTTAGCTGGGGGCATGTCCCATCAATTCTAGTCAGTAGAGGCTTTTCAGACAAAGTATTAGATTCAGCTTTAGATCTGAGTTTGATCTTTCAGTTGTTATTGAACTCTTAGTACATTTCATATATTCAGACTAGTTTGGTATTCTCCACATTCAGTTACCACTGTTTTAGCTTCCGCATAGTATCTCTTTATTCATATTGCTTAAGTATGCTTTTGATATGGCAGCTTCAGGGTTAGCTTGGGGTCACTCGTGATCCTAGGTCCCGTGTTTACGTCAAGGGGGTAGACTCAGGGCCCGACACATTAAATATCTATTTCATTTGTGAACTTGTGAGTGCTTTGTGTGAAACTTGTGATTGATGAACTTGGTCCTATGTATTGTTGATCCAAAATCAGTGGAGTGTTTTTATTGATCTATATGCTATTAAAATTGTGAACTGTTAGGTTGAGCTGGTTTTATGCAGGTTCTAGTTGTGGAGGTTCCGTTAAGGTGTAAGAAGTACTCGTATTCTACTCCCTTAGCTAGTGTTTAGAAGGTTACTTGTTGAGTAAAGTGTGGTTTGGTACTCACCCCTTGCTTCTACATTTTTGTAGGTTATGAGCCTGGATCTTCGTAATACTTTCTATTCTCTTCTTTTCTGAGGCTTCCTATGGAGATTTTTTTGAGGTAGTTATTTGTCATCTAAGCAGACCTTGTTACTCCTATTTATGATTTTCTTCTAATTTAGTGACAACATCATTTGAGACTTGTGTTTTTCTTTCAAATAAATTGTAATACATTAGAGGTTTGTGCAAGTGACAACCAGGTTTTGGGGATTTAGTTAAGTTGATTTGGTATTTGTATTATTACTTGTTATTGAATTTTCATTTATAGCTTATTTCCGCATTTTATCGTATTAGTTGGGTATTAGGCCGACTTGTCTTGGTGGAATAAGACGAGTGTCATCACGCCCAATTTGGGGTCGTGATAAATTACCACTATTAAATCTAAATAAAATATTATTTTAGAAGCTTGAAAATTAAAATCGTGTTTAGAATATGTTTGATTCACAAAACATGGTATGAATTAAATGTTATACATAGTAATTTCTTGCTTTTTTATTGCATTAAATGTAAGTTTGATTTTTTTAGAAGAAGAGTTTGAAAATCATGTCTTTCATCTAATTTCTATTTATATAGTTAATTTTGATAAGTAATAATAATCTATTACAGTTTTGAAATAAATTGCAACCGCAGTTGGTCATAATAAGAAGAGTACCTCGCTTTATTAAGAGGCAACTTCTCTGAATTGTGTTTACAACTTACAAGCACCTGATTTCTTTTTAAATTTAAAATGTATGTATATCTTTTTTGGTGTTACTATGAATGGGCTTTTATTATTCTTTTTTTTTATATATAAAAGGCCTACAAGATAGCTTGAAAGATCTGGCCCACCAAACACTTAATATACAAAATCAAATAAAAACCTAAAAGAAAACAAAAGCAATCTAAAGTTTCATCTAGATCCAGTGAATGGAATCCTTAGTTTCTTCTTCATTTTTCCATGGTTCTCTTTCAAGGAAGAAGAGGAGCTCCATTTTTATTCCCAAATCACATTTCTAGATCTGTGCAGAATCAGGTAAGTGCCATTTTTCCATTTAAAAATGTGTTTTGATGTTTTTGTTCTCTAATTCAAACAAACAAACTTCTTTTTGTCATGGACTAGATGATTTGATTGGGTATGTTCTTCTAGTGAGACTCGATGTTGTATTTTCTATCTGGAATTAAAAATAAAAGAGTTGGTTGTTGATTCTTCAGGTTTTGCCTTTCCGATGATACAATATAACGTGACTGATTTATCTTGTAAATAATGAAGTAACAATTTTGATCTTGTGAATTTTGAATAATCAAAAAGAAATCTTCGGTTGTGTATGAATGTTGAGAAAAGTTGCTTTTTGTTACACATCTTCTGAAAAAACCCCTATTTTCATGATACAACGATGTAATCTCATGTAATGATGGAAGATTGTTCCATCAGTTGTTATTTTGATTTATTTCTCTAGGTCATATTATCTGTTTCACTTCTAATTCACAAATAGCATGTCAAAACGACAAAAAAAGGAAATCAAATTCATCAGGTAAACAATTTTTTTTACCTATAATATTTTAATTCTGCTTTTGATCAACTCTCTTGGAGCTTAGAATGGAATAACTAGTCCTCATTTAGAATTCTCGGGATACACTTCACAACCTAACAATTAATACCGTACCAATGATTCACCCCTAAGATCTTCCATATAAATAATGCTTAACCTAATCGCTCGTAGTAACAAACTAGTCGGCTTCTCAAATATGGATGAAACATTGCTTCTAATTATACAAGTTGGTAATACAAGTGATAACCCTTAAATAGGTAGTATTCGCATTTGACAATCAACGTATCCATTCGAACATACCACTAGTACCCATCATTAAAATCTGCAAGATCTACCACTAGAATACCTCATACCTATTGAAAAGATCGTACCCAAATAACTCATACATTTCTTCCCATTAAGTAGTTGCAAAACATTATTAAGTCAGTTCGGTCTCTTACTCAAAGCAATATGCAGTATTTCAGAGATCGGGTCGATGGCACAATTAACACGCTCCATAACTCTAACCAAAAAAGAATTGATACTATTGTAGTAGTCATATAATGACCTTCTTTGATATACACTCAATCTACGAAATCTTAGTAGAGATTCTGACTCAATTGGCGTAACATCATTCTTATCATTCTCTAAGCGATCCATACATGTTATGACAACTTTACTAACTATATTGTCCAAATTTACAATGTTCATTATCTAGCCATCACTTTAATTATTCCACTTCCAATTGTCGAACCACTCCAGATATTGCCTAAACCACAAAAGTACTATTTCCGTTGAATGGGTAACTAACCTAATAAAAATAACACGTTCATGATGTCCCTTAAACCATTGGTCAAACTTATCATTCGAATATCCTCGAAATGCATTATCGAGTCATCACCTTATTCAACCCCTTTGTATCATTTAACATATTTAATTTGACCACAAATCATTTCCAGAATTATATAACTTCCACCTTAGTACCAAATTTCGCATCCAAGCCAAACTCGACATAAACTACTCACACGAGGAATCACACACAATTCATAATTATAAGTGAGAATGAATAAAAGGAAACAAGAAGAGTTGACCGTACCAAGGTTGCACTATAGAGAATCAAGAAGTGAAGATTTTTCCTAACAACCATTATAGCCTCTCAAAGATAAGTATCGACGTCTCCGTAACGATCCTCGAGACTATACTTAGACTCGGCTTGTGTACACGTGAGACCTATGAACCTGTTGCTCTGAAACCATTTTGTCACGACCCAAAAATTGATGTGATGGTACTCATTTTTATCCCCCAAAAATAAGTCAGCCTAATAGCCCACTAATACGATAAAGTAAGGAAATAAGCTATAATTGAAAGTTTAATAACACAAAATAATACGGATAACAAGTCAACTTAACTAAATCCAAAAAACCTAATTGTCACGTGTAGAACCCTTTAATGTATTACAAAGGATTTGAAAGAAAAATACAAGTCTCAAATGATGTTGTCACTAAAGTAGAACAAGATCATAAATAAGAGTAATAAGGTCCGCTAAGATAACAAACAACTACCTTAAAAAACTCTCCATAGGAAGCCTAAAAAAAGAAGAGAATAGAAAGTATTACGACAATCTGGGCACATAACCTACAAAATATAGAAGCAAGGGGTGAGTACCAAACCATACGGTACTCAACAAGTAACATTCTAAACACAAGCTAAGGGAATAGAATACGGGTACTCTTTACACCACAACAGAACCTCTGGAACTACAACCTGATTAAAACCAACTCAAGCTAACAGTTCACAGTTTCAGTAGCACATATATCAATAACAACACTCCAATGAGTTTGGATCAACAATACATAGGATCAAGTTCATCAATCATAAGTTTCATAGAAAGGCACTCACAATTTCACAAATTATATAGATATGCAATGCAATGCCAATTATAGTGATGCATGTCTGGTCTAGCGATACACCCCCGCTGTCTCTTAATCCAGAAACCATGAGAGGCATATATGTACATGCATCCATCGTTGCATGTGAAACGACCCTCAAAAATAAAATACATCACAGCGTGTGATACGTCCCTCGATAATCAAATATGTTGCAGCGTGTGACACATCCTTTAAAATATAGTATCCGTTGTGGCGCATGAAACTTCCCTTGAAATGGTACATCCTTTAAAATTTCTTATTATTCCTCAATTCACATAACAGTTGTCACAACCATGTCTCAAAACCAATGCAAATAACATGTTCACACAAATAATGAGGAGATGAACATTTTCATAACAATGTACAATTCACAAAAACACAATCATGATACAACATCCAAAAATGAACCAATAAGCCTTTCAAAACCATTCTCAACACATCACACATCAATAATTAACCACATTGCCTTTTATTACCTTTTTTTCATACATTAGAATTATTCAATATGGACAAGTCAACCCATCACCAAGTTCCATTACTCTCCAATACATACTAC